ACCTGTAATCCCAGGGACTCTGGAGGCTAAAACAGGAAGATCACAAGTTCAAGGCCAGTCTCAGCAACTTAGACCCTTTCTCAAAATAAAAAGGGTTGGGAATGTAGCTCAGTGGGAGAGAACCACTGGGTTCAAGCCCAGAACCACAATCAGTAACACCGACATACAGAACCCAAAACAAACTATATAAATGACTACCAACTAAAAGTAAAACAGATAAATTAATGGAATATTATACAGCAATCAGAAAAAAGGAAATACACATATGCAACATGGGGATCAATGTTGAATAAATAAAACTAGACATAAAGAATACATACTACATAAGCATTTATATAACAGAAACAAAATAAATCTCTAGTGTCAGAAACTAGGAAAGTAGTGTATTATGAGGTAGGTGAAGAGGGGCAGTGCATTCTGTGTAGCTGGTAATGTTTTATTTCTTGATCTTGGTGTTGACAACAATTGTGAAATTTCACTGAGTCATATGTACACTTCTGATGTATATATGACTATTTATCTAATATACTGCAATAGAAGGTTAAAAAAACTTGAAGCTTCTAAAAATTACTACACTGTAGAGAAACAAAACTTATGGAATCCTTTTTCTTTTGAAGTGCTGGGGATTAAAACTCAGGGCCCTGTTCATGTGAGGCAAGTGCTCTACCACTGAGTTACACACCCAGCCCAGGAATTTCTTACAAAGTATGCTAAAAATTTATTTAGATTGATAATAGTAGATAGTATGGGTGTTTTAAAATATGACTCCCCTCCTACCATTGAAAAGTAGGCTGCATGCCCCCACCCCTTAAAACAAGGTTCTTAGACTGACCAATAGTAAGCACTGTGCCCGTTTCTAGGTCTCAGCTTTAACAAACCAGTAGCTTTCAATTCCTGTTATATGGGGTGGCTCACTTCTAGAAACTAAACACCAGGTTGTAAAACACAGTCTTGTGGAAAAGGCCACATGTATATGGGACGGCTTCTTCTAGCTCCCACCTCCAGCCACCTAATTCGGTAGCAAGGCTTACAGAAGAGACTAGCAAGAGAGAGAGAACATGCCAGGGAGTGGGCTTTTATTGGGGAACAAAAAATTCCAGGGAAAATCCCATTCAATGAAGGTTAATGGGGGCAGCATCCCAAGATCAGGGGCAATGACTGGGTCTTTGGAGCAGTGGCCAGACACGCCTCTGCACAGACAAGCCCTCGGACCTGGAGAAGGGTGGGGAATAGCTCTGACACCTGTGTCTAAGCGCCTCTCGCCCAGCCAGGGAGGTAACTCAAATCACATTCGAGGATGGCCTCCCACACTGTACTGTAGTCTGATGGTTCTTTCTGCCTACTGTGCTCCTTCCTCTCTATTCTTCACAATATATCTCTTGTACATCTAATCCTATCTTGAAGTCTATTTCTCAGCGTACTTGACACAATTATATTTTGGGATAGGTCTTTATGCTTTTTATGTAAATGCACAGAAAACCACCATACATTCCTAGAAGATGCTCAGTAATACAAACATGAAAGGGATAAGAATGGCATTATGGATATGAGGGTGTCACCACCTACGCATTTGTCCTTTGTGAGAAAGTTTCTTTTTTTTTTTATCCCTACTATACATAACTCAATTGGCAGATTTCTATACTGGACTGGCAACCACTTCTCAGTTAAATACCATTAAACAGCTAAAAAACATTTCCACTGTTTTATCAACTGTTAAATAATATCTAGACTCTAACAGTAAATTATTATAGTAAATTATTACTACAGGGAGTACAACTTTACCACAGTTGTATACTTGCCTCGTATTGACAATTTTTTTTTTCCCGGTGGTGCCAGAGATTGAACCCACAGGCACTTAACCACTGAGCCACATCCCCAGCACGTTTTATTTTTAATTTTAAGACAGGGTCTTACTAAGTTGCTTAGGGCCTTGCCACATGCTGAGGCTGACTTTGAACTTGTGATCCTCCTGTCTCAGTTTCCCAAGGTGCTAGGATTACAGATGTGCACCACCTTACCCATGATACTATTCATTTTTGTGGGGAGCGGGGGACTACTGATCAAACCTGCAGCTTCATAAATGCTAAGCATGTAACAACTCCATCACTGAGCTACACCAGTAGGCCCAACACTGTTTTTACTATTTATTCTGTGGTGCTGAGATAACACTATTAATTTTTAAACCAGCATGTTACAGAATATCAAAAGCAACACAGCCCTTAATTTTTAAATTTTAAAAAAATATTTATTTATTTATTTGTATGTGGTGCTAAGTATCACACCCATTACCTCACACATGTGAGGCAAGTGCTCCACCACTGAGCCACAGCCCAAGCCCATAATCCAGTCTTGATATAGTTAAAATAATCTAAGACTTTCTCTGAATTTACAAAGCTCCAGAAAAGGATTGATTGTTCTTCATAAAAAATAAACTCAGTCTTCTTCTTCTCTTCTTTTTTTTTAAGTTGTCTATAGACTTTTATTTTATTTATCTACATGCAGTGTTGAGAATTGAGCCCAATGCCTCACACATGCGAGGCAAGTGTGCTACCGCTGAGCCCCAGCAACAGCTCCAAACTCGGTCTTCCTAATGAATGTTTTCTTTTATACAAATACCAAAACTCTTTAACAAAAACAATTTCCTGAAAAACTCTCAGTAAAATTAAAATCTGTCATAATCCTGAAATATACTCATCTTCCTCAATAAATTATTCACAACTACAACAAGTTAAATATTACTATATGCAGACATTTAGATCCTCAAAGGTTTAATTACCTTTTTGAAAAAAATTATTATGGTAATAATACATGACACAAGATGTATCCTTTTAGCAGATTTTTAAGTATACAATACAATACTGTTCATTATAGTACAGATATATCACTATGCAGTAGATCTCTAGAATTTAGTACTTACTCTAGTTTTATCAAACAGTTCTGAAACTTTGAGGAAAAACCTGGAAGGGAAAAATATTTTCATCAGAAGCTACATTTGAAATAATTTCCCACATCAGATATTTACAGAATATGTTCCCAAACCATTTCATTAATGAGCATTATTGTTTCCTTGCATAAAACATTCAATGGTCTTATTAACTGGAGACTTCATTTAGTTCAGGAAAAACCTCCCATACTTCCACCAATATAACACATTACTTGAAATCTGTTATAGGAAATTTCCCCATTTCATTTCAATACACAATCTAAGCCACATACCAAACTTAAAATTTATCTTGATATTCCTTTAAGTAATATATCACATAATACTAAATAGAGACTGTTCTTTCAACATTATTACAGAAATACAAAGCAATTACACTGAAAGAGACAAAAAGTTGACTGATCTACTGGACAGCACTAAAGCTGGAGAACTTCTTAAAGTTACTGGAGAATTATACATTTTTGATACTGTAATTGAATCCAGGGGTACTTTACCACTGAGCTACCTCCCCAGTCCTTTTTATTTTGCAACAGACTCTCACTAAGTTGCTGAGGATCTCACTAAGAGGCTGAGGCTGGATCTCAAACTTGGGATCCTCCTGCTTCAGTCTCCTCTGAGTTTCTGGGATTACAGGCATGTGCTACATGCTCAGTGATAGTTTTATTTTAAACATTTTCAAATATAGCTACTTTGTTTTGAAAAGTAATGAAAATGAACAACCAATTCCTAGCTCAGAATAAATTTTCCCTTTACTAAACAGTGTGTCAAATGCTGATATCAATTAAAAACTATCTAACCTGGCATGGTGGTGCTCACCTATAATCCCAAGTGGTTGGGAGGCTGAGGCAGGAGGATATCAAATTCAAATGAGCCTCACTAATTTAGCAAGGCCTTGAGCAACTCAGTGACCCTGTCACTAATAAAATATAAAAAGGGCTGGGGATATGGCTCAGTGGTTAATTGCCCTTGGGTTCAACCCCCTGGTACCAAAAAAAACCACAAAAAAACAAAAAAACAAACCAGTATCACAGGGACTAGGTTTATAGCTCAATGGTAGACTGTATGTTTAGCATATTCAAGACCACGTGAAACTATTAAAAAGCATTCTGTAAAATACATAAAATCATAGATGGCATGATAATTGGATTAGGGCAAACTACAGAAAGCAAAACCACAATTTAAGCCAGGTGCAGTGGTGCACAC